ACTCAGAAAGTTCAGTTTGAATCAAATCAACTCATTTATAAATATATTTGTAATCTAATAAGTATTCAGGAGACAAACAGGGTCTCTGTTTGCATCAGAACAAAGCGATGTCAGCAGTTTTCTTCCAAGGGTGATGATCTTGGTTAATCTGAAGCATCTGCTCCTTGGCCGCTCTGGGTCCTTTGCATTGCAATGAGAGTTCACATTGCATTTTTTTTTTCTGGTCAAGCTCAGACCAGTGATGTTCACAATCTACCTCAGCTTCTGGAAATATTTTGTGCTACATTTTGTGGTTGCCCCTCGCCATTCTGCTGGTGATGGCAAATGTGGAAAAAACTGGGTTCATGGACACTCTTTGTGTGAGGCGAATACCATTCTGTATTTTCTATTAAAATGCATTGTTAGAATGCCATTCATTGTTGGGTTTTTTGAACAAAAATGAGCAAATGTCACATCTTCCATGTCTCTTGTGAAAACTGGAGAGTTACGGTAAGGCAACTCCAAGTAGCTGCAAGTCCACATCTTCTCACTTTTGTTTTGAATGAATACAGATCTAGAAATGCCACAGAGGCCTTAGCAGATGCTCGGCCCCTGCGATCAAAAGAAGAGCAGGTACCTCTGGGCAGTCAGACAGCCATCCCCCCTCCTCTTCCTTGTCAGCTTCCCCACAGCTTTTGCAAATGTAGAGGTGGCTCTGCACGGTTTTGCTTCTCTCTCTCCGAGACCTCCAAATGGTCAAGAGGAAATGTTTTTTCTCCTCCAAGGACGTGGTTTCTAGAGCAGCTAAAGGAGTTTGACAGAACTACATTTATTCCTCTTGCAGCTGGTTGCCCATAGAGCACGACAGCCTTGACTGCAGTATTTACATTATATGTTTACATTCAGTATCTTAATACCTTCCCAGTTATTCTCATTTTCAGTTGGTCCCACATCCCACCCGCATGCCTAATTAGTGTGGACAAAAATGGGCCACAAATCAGGGTTAAAGAAGCTCAGTTCAGGTAAGGTTCAAGTGATTCTAATGTGTTCAGGGTATTCCTGTGGCACGCAGATCTCGCTGCTCCCCTTCTTGCCTGCCAGTGAGCACAGTATAATTGAACCTATAATGTCTGGTTCACAAGTAGAAGAATAATCTCTTACTCTTTATGGATGGAGGGGAGGGGGAAGAGGGAGAGATATGCATAATTATCACATATGCTTCACATGCATTAATATGTACAGGCATATGCTCTGAAAATGTAAACCTTCATTACAGCAAAACTAAGATGACAAACTTGTAATGTAAAGTTTAAAATACAGGTGAAAGAATAATTCACTGGCTATACTTAATTAGAAAATCAGGATGATCTTGTGAGTTCTGCTAATTTTTCCAATGCCAGTTGGATGCTTTGCCAATAAATAATCTTGTAGTGTCAAAATCAATCACTGTGTTACAAAGGCTCCTCAACTGTGATCGAAATAATTCTATTTCCCCGGGAGACACATACCAATGAAAAATTTAAGAGGTCATCAGTCATGGTATCTCTTTCCAATGTTTATAAAGTTGTATCTTTGGATAAGAACATTTCCAGTGTTCTTGTCACGACAGAAATCAGACTGGAGGTCCAGTATATTTGCGGACAGGATCACTGTGCTTAGGTAGACTATCTCATCCCTAAATTTTTGACGTTATATAAGAAAAACTGTTCTGGGGCTGTCTCTGTTATTTGTACATCCCTGGTAAAGGGGTGAAAAGAGATCTCAATATATATGAGAATTAGGCTCTAGGTATAGATGCATAAAGCATATAATAGCATAAGGCCATTGAAGAACAATGCCAGATGCATTCATTTCCTGTCAAGTGTTCTGAAATTGTGTATGCTCAAACAATTCAGATTTGCACTCTGCACAAAATCTTACACGGTCACATATAATTTGCTATTTTCCCATAGCACATTAGCTGTTTGTCGGTGGCATAAGAATCACTTGATAACCGTGTAGCAGCCAATGTGTCTTACTGCTAAATTATTGGGCTTTTTACTGGAAACCAAATCATGATCATAAAATTCAAATGAACATTTCACAAGGATCATCACACAGGATGTATCATATTAAACCCATTGAAAAAGCAATTCTCTGAGGTATGTTTCATAGGCAATTGCTTCCCAAATAGTTTTTCATTGCTGTTGAGATTCCAGCCACAAGAAGTGCCTTTAATCCAGTTCCTAAGCTCAATTAGGGAAATATCTGGATAAGAACTTCAAAAATGCCTTTCTCTGTCATTTCCACAGAAAAAATTGACTCCTATTTGTGTTACCTTGGGTCTAATGATCTCTTGAACAAAAGTCTTCACGCTAGCGAAGAGCTAGCTCATAGATACAAAGCCACCGATGTCTTTCAAAGACATTTTCTTTTATGTCTGAGGCAGAGTCAGTTTTTGGCAAAATTGAGGGGGTTTTGTTTGTGCACAAAGGTCGTTTTACCATGCTCTAATGCATCCCTAGGGCAGGGACCAGGCAGCAGAAAGGCAGCAGCTTCATTTTCTTCCAGGTCAAGATGTAGCTCTTGGTCCTTTATTTAAGTCTTCTATCTCCTCTTCATATGAAAAAAAAATGAACCCGGAAAGTCTTCCCAGGAATCGGTTTTGCTCATTAACTATGGAATCCACCCACTTCCTGAAAAGTCCATAATGTAATGTCTGGGTATTGCAGGTCAAAGAAAGATTAGGCAGTCAATTTATTTTAGAAACTGAGAAAGAGGAAAGTGAGCTTGACCTATTAGTCATTTTTTCACTCCCACCCAAACTATTAGATAAGTCTGAGATAAAGTACTTGAATTCATTAAAATTGCTGAAGAATAGAAAGGACTGCTTTTTAATTTTCCATCTCTTACTCTCTCAAAAATGAAAATCCCTGTAATTTCATAGGTCAAGCTGTGATTACATCCATTTTGATAAAACGCTGTATTACAGAAGAGAGAGGACTTTTCAGTTAAAATTTATCATGCTTATCATGAATCGACTTCAGAGGATGCCAGGAGTTCTCGGGATTTCTGTAAAACATGAGCTTCATTGACACTCGTAGGATTGGCAAGCCTGGTTTGATGTATCTGACTTTTTGCTCCATTGTCGTTACAGTAAACACAAACAACATAATGAAAAAACACAAGAAAACTATTTTCCCTCAGGGGTCTTCAAAGTTCACACATCAAAGAGAATGCTGCAAAGCTGCAGCATGAAAATCTGATGGTTTGGGTTCCCAGAGTTGCTAAACAATGTCATTTCTGCCAGCTTGGTGATAGGCAGAATGAGGAACATTCACACCGCCCACCCTCAAGCTCTCCACAGAGGTGCCCACAGCGGGTGCTTGGGCTGCGTGAAGTCTCTCGGTGGGCTCCTCCAAACCACTCTTTTTCTCAGCCGCCCTCTCAAACAACCTGTGTTGACTTCAGAGGGACCCACGGATCACTGGACCACAATATTTCTTATTTATGTGCAGAGTCTTACAGGCAAAGTGTAGACATCCCCAAGAGATGGGAAGAGGCTCATGCCTGGCTGTGCTTTGGGGAATACTTTGGGGCTTGAGGAGCATTTCTGGTTAACAGAGGCCTGGTATTAATCGTGCCTTTATTACAAAACAATGTGCCGGGTCTCCCTTGGACTCACAGCAATATGCCAAAGAATTGTCCTTGGAGGGGAGTTTTACCACTGTCAGCAAAGCCACCTTCACAGTAGCATCCCAGAGTAAGCAGAGGGGTGGTCCCAGGGAGTTGATTCTATCTCCTGAGCACTCCCTTCTTTCTCAAAATACTATTAGCTCCTGCTAAACTTTGCCCAGAGTGCGTGATTGAGGTTGTTGTACCATGCACCATCACAATACAGGTGTTGAGGGAACACCGAGGTTAGCTGAGAAGCCTCATGCACAACCGACTTTGGAGAAATAGGATGGAACAACCACGAAATGGAAGATAACCTAAACAGTTATCTGAGCTGAATGCCAGCAACAACGGCAAAGCTGTCGCAGGGGAAGGATGAAGGCAGAGATGTGCTGCTGGGAGAGACTGGCTCATTTCCAGTGAAGGCATTTGCCCCACCGGAGCGGCCAGCCCAGCCCTGCCTGATGCTGCCCTGTGCTGGCAGCCCCTCTGTACG